CATGCAGTCGGCAGGACTATACCCACATGAGAGTCATGCCAAGCTCAGGCCTGCTCTGATACCAAGTTGAAAAACAGCCCTTCGAAGTATGGGACTGTGTAAGATTAGATGAAAAACCAGAAAAGGCAAACAGCTGAAAAGATTGGTGAAGATGGAGAGAGAGTTGGCGGCAAGAAGGGTTAGAGGATGAGAGATTTGAACTAATCTCCCCCTCTTAACACTCTAATACAATTTTATTAAGTTAATTCTTGAATAATTACAAGAGAGGCCCCTGGTTGGGCAAGAAATTACAAAAAACACGGCATAGAAGAGGATGGGCCCAGAATAAGGCCCATTACAGAAAAGAACATAAATATAACATAGAATAACAGCCTATGGGCCATTCGGCCCATCTTCTCTACAAATGCAATATGTTTTACATCACATTAACTACTTGAAGCAATACAATTAAGGAAAGAAAGAGATTGTGGGTTTTACATGCTTGAAAATGCTTTATATGTTTGCTTTTATTTTTAAATTTTCGTTTGAATACACTTTACATGCTATGTATATGTATTTTAATTTTAGATAATAGGTTTTTAAAATCATTTATTTTAAAATTTAATTTTATATTTTTATTAACATTTTGTTTAATATTTTTTAAATTTTTTTGCATTTTTTTTCATTTTTTGGCATTTTTTTGGAATCTTCTGACAATTTTTTTTTTATTTTTTAGTTTTTTTTTTTGTAATTCTGCGCCTTGCGCCTCAGGCGCAAATTGGCCTTTGTGTTTTTTTTGCGCCTTGCGCTGTTAAAACACTGCCCCTTTCTGATCTTCATTTCTCCCATTTCTGAGCATTAAAGGCCCTCCCATCATTAGACAATTACACCAAAACTGACCAACCCTTTAATATTTAATATATCACAAAATGAATTAAAGGAAAGAATTAATATTCCATGCCCCCAGTGTTGTCAGATTCAGACTAGACCCGAGAGTTGGATCATTTGAATTAGGAACTAGCACAGCCAAAACGGTTTTTGGGTTCTGGTTCTTAGAATGTTGACTTGGCCAAACATAACCCAAATCCGAATTCATGTATTAACGGGTATTATAACATCTAGTATTTATTATTTTAAAATTATTTTGATGTAATATAGCTGTACAAGATAACCTGAAACTATTTTCTATTTTCCTTTTTCATCTTTTTTTGTATTTTCTTGTTTGACTGAGCTGAATGGTCAAACTGGACTGTTGAAAGGTTCAACCCATGACCCAGTGACCAAAAATGGTTTCATATCCATTCCAAGTCTGACAACATTGCTAAAAGTGGGTCTTGCTTTTCACCCAATACATGCTCAAGATGAATATAGGCTCATAGGCCTTATTGTTTTTTCCCTAACATGTATTCAATATTTATAACAACTCCATGGGATCTTTAATAAAATGAGATTGATATTAACAGTCTTTTTTTTCTTGAGATTTTATGGAAAATTAAAAAAAAATGGAATCAAATGAATACATGTGAATTACTTCGTTCTAGATACATGGATAGGCTTTTTTATTTCTTTGATAATGCCAGGTCTATAGGCAATATTTTTTTGGGTACAGGAGAATCAGGGGTGGGCCAGAGCAGGATGCACATGAGGCCCACTGGCATACCACATAGAGCGTGCAGTTCTGCAGGTTTGATCCTGTGTCTCCTAAATGGAGGGGGTGTRATGCAACCATCTTGACTGCTGGGTCATCAGCTATAGGCAATATACTATCTAGATATCTTATGTTATTTTTGACATATCTTTTCTGAGTGTGGCTGTGTGCATGTGTTTATAAAAAGGCTATTGCCCAATGATAGTCACAGCTATCTGTGTATTGGGATAGAGAATGGATACAGACCTAACCTTTGGAAATTTTTTTCCTTTTCTGCACAAAGTGGCCCTTTGTTGTATCTATTTATACTGGAAAGACATAATACCTAAAAAACTTATAACCAATCAAATGGATCATAAAAGTGGCAACCAATCAGCTGGTATTCATCAAAATTCATGCAGGAGGGTCTGATTGGTCAAAGTTCTTCTGGTAGCATACCTTTAGTGGCATCATAGTTTTTGCACCGTATATGCAATGCATGTATGTATAAGAGAAAATGTAACAATTGTTTTTTGTTGATATTTCTTAATTACAATAATATTAACCCTGCTGCAGACAACTTTAAATATGAGAAAATGATTGCCTTTTGAATTGATGTCATCAATTGCTTATTTTAATTACTGTATGTCTTTTTCTCATACAGTTACAAATGAGTGTGCATGACTTACGGAGTTGATTGAAATCATTTCCTATTGATGTTGTAATGATCATAAACATTGGTTTCAAAATTATGTTGAGCCCTATTTAAGATTGAACTTCAGTTACTTCAAATTATTTCCAGCATATTGAGGATGATAGTTGTTGCAATGTTCTTTTAGCATGGGCTGTCATACATTTCCTTAATTTTTTTAATCCAGTGTCTTTATCTTGATGCTTGATGTTATATGAATAAATGAATTTTCAGGTTGAAAAGCAAAAGATTCTGAGAGAAAGTGTCATCAGATCAATACCCTCAAATGATGGAAACAATTGCAGAAACCAGGCTTTACACCAAGAACAAAGTGACAAGGCACCCTCTTCCAAAAGAGATGGTGCAGTGGAATGCCAGTACATGGAAAACGAAAAGGATAAGTTGACTAAGACGCAGTGGAAGTTCAGTACTTCCAAAAGTCCATCAGCCTTAGATTCTGACAGAAGTGCCACATCAGGCATGAAACTGGCTACTTCTGAAGATGTAAAGAGGCCATCTGGTGGCTCTTCTAGCTTCTTTGACAGGTAATATTGTGCTCTTGTGGCCATATTTCTTAGAAATCATTTTCATTTGGTTTTGCAAAGGAAAGAGGATATGCAAACTAAAAATAGAAAAATTCGTGATGGAACTTGGGAGAATAGATGCCCTTATGAGATCCCCTTCAGGCAATACAGCCATTTCCATTATTTTCAGTCAAATGGAAAAGATACCTTCAGACCAAAGTAAATTGGATGAACATAAAATTTGATCTGAATTCAACTTTGTTATCTTTCTGACATCCTATTTCCTCTCAATTTAGGTTTAGAAAGTCCAGAAATGAAGTGCCAAAAAGTGCTAATGATTCTTTACAAATGCCAGCAAAACTTGCGAGGGATGCACATCCTCTTCTATTCAAGTTTAACGAGGTATTTATTGTTTCCAGATCATAGTTGAGATTGATTCTTTATTTTGATGCAAATCATGCCCATAAAACACATGCATGTCCATGCACATAAAGCTATGGCATGGGTACAGAGTAGTAGTATGGAGTTACGCAAGTTAGAATGTTAGATGATAGGAAGTATGGAATTCATTTTTATGTTTACTGCTAAGCATGCTTTAGTGCCAAAACTAGTACATGATGTTCAGTTTACAATTGTTAAAAATTGAAGCTAGCATGTTAAATTCTGTTCTTCAACAATCTATAATCCATTTCACCATCCTTGATTTTCAACTTTCTGTCACTGCAATTCAAACTTCTTGCTTATTTTCCAGTGCTGTGTATATCGAAATTTGATTAATCCAACGGGTCTGCCAAGTGAATGCTTGAAACTCTTTGTAGCACCCTGTCTGTGCATAGACTTGTGTAATTGCATTCTGGAGTTCAGTTGGTGTATACATACTATCTTATTGTAAACATGGTCTTGAGCCATTGGTTAGCGGTGGTGTCATGTTGTAACTGTGGTTGATTCAATAATCTAACCTATTCCGTTTTTGTTTCAAATGTTAAACAAGGCATAGCTCAAACATGCGCCAACCAAGTTGCCATTGCTTGTGATGAGTGAAATCTAGCACTCTGCATACTAAATGAATGGCTCAGATTGATACAATTGAAAAAGACGGTTCTTGCAATTGATGAATGGACTCTGCAAAAATAGTGCCCAGAACATGGATCCATAGGTTCATTAAATACCACAAGTCCAGGCATGCAAGAAACTACTGTTAAATTGATAAATGCCGACTTTAAATCCCTCAGCTTGAGTTAGGAAAGAGATTAGTTGCATCATCACAAGGCCTTTGGCCGGTTGATGACTTTGAGAATGAAAGCACATAATCCTTGTATCACTAATCTATGATGTAAGAGTATGAATGTAAGCTTTTTTTTTCTTTGCTAAACATGTGCCAAATTCATAGATAGAATGAACAGGAACTTATATTTGCCATCTTTTTCTCTTTTCCAAATGTCAGGGCTTCACGAATGCAATAAAAAGGCCAGTGCGGATGCGTGAATTGCTTCTTTGACAAAGGCATGTTTATTAAGAATTAGGACTCGTGGAATTCTTGACCTTTATTTTTTGATGTACCATCTTGTTTCTTGATATCCTTCAGTCTCACCCTTGATTGTTTAGCCTTTGTAATTATTCAATTGTATAAACGTAGCATTCCCAAATGTATATTGCCAGATGTAATAATATATAGTTGAGTGACTTGAGTCTAAGACCCTGATATATTCTATTTGGGAACTGTTAAGACATTTTCTCTTCTAATTTCTATGAACCTTGCAATTATTCCAACAGAGAAACGATTTCTTCTCCATTTATTCTGTTTCTTTTTTTCGCTACTATGCTATTAATGCCTATGTTTCGTTGTCATTTTTTTTTTTTCCTTTTAAAATGATTTGGGAGCTTTGAAGACGCAACTTTATGGCAGCAATGCAAGCCAATTATGATGTAGGTCCAAGCCCAATTGACATTAATGACTCATTTTTTGTGTACCTCTACCAGATGCAGGTCAGTTTATTAAGGGAGTAAAACATGATGGGAACTTCATTCTCACCCATGTTTCTGATTTGTTGGAACTTTCCTGCTTTTCAAGGCTACGTATGCTCAACGGCCCCTATGGGGATACAGGCGCACCACCAAACATAAAAAAAAAAATAAAATAATAATAATAATAATAATAATAATAATAATAATAATAATAATAATAATAATAAGAATGGAGAAATGATGTCGTTTTTGGTAGCATCTGAAGTCGTAGGTTGGCGCTCTCACCCTGTCATCTGACCTCTAAGTTAAACCTTACTCAAGCATGCATAACCTTTAAAAACAGGATAGTTTCAACAAATCAGAAACAAGGCCTTCAAATTAAAAGATAAAGTTCTGTACTGGTGCTTTTTTTCATTCTTGTAATTTTGGAAGATCTCCTACACAGTTGTACAAGTCCTAATACCAGTTGAAAGCAGGCCACAGGAGCAGACAATTTTAGGTCCATGGGCCAACTTATTTGGCCAAATTCCCTCTCTATCACGTCCTTAGAAAATTCTATTTTCCCTACCTTTCCTTTCCTTTCCCTGCCTTATCTTTCAAACCAAACACAGCCTTAAATAACCCAAACTAATAAAATACAATTCTACAGCAGAATAACAAAAACACTTTACTAAATTTTTCATTTGAGCATTTTAAATGCCCCATATTTCCTTAATTCTTTATGAGTGATGAGGGGTAATTTGGTCCTCCCAATTGTAATAGCACCTCGGCTAGGGCGAACTAGTAGACCTCGTAAGATTGCAGCAACCTGTCCTATGAGCCCGCCAAGCTACAAGAGTCCAAGGCTACCTGCGAGGAAGAGCTCGCTAACCATGCCCAACAACACGTCACCAAAAGTGTCAGAATCTCGATCGTTAGAACAGCCCACCGTACCGCACGCCTCGACTTTACAGGGCCCATTACCAAGGAGGCCTTGAGCACTGATGCCTATAAAAGGCACCTATTTCCACTTGGAAAGGTACGTGCACTAAGTACTCTAAGCTCTCTCAATTCTTCAGAGAACTCTCGAATACTTAAGCTTTGGAGTGCCCTCCCCGGGTAAAATACGCCTGGGCACTCTCATCCTCTTCTCCTTGCAGCATACTTCAACTCGGTCATCCGTATACCAGCTCGGCCCTGTACAGCTCAGCCCAACCAAGCAAACATCCAAGTCGGAGTCCGAGTCATCAAACACAAAGGAGCTTCCAGATTGTGCAACCTCAATTGGCGCCGTCTATGGGAAAACTGTGACAAAAGGTTAAGTTCTCTCTTATTTCTTTGAAAGCTAAGAAATGACATTTTCAAGCAACTTGCCCACAAATAACAACACCAACGGCCAAATCCCCATTGTCACCATTGGCCAAATAGATGTTCCCTTGCATCCAGCCATTGCACCAGAGAATGTAAACGTGCCTCCTCTATGGTCGAGCCAGCAGCGGTTCCCACAACAGTTAACGCGCGCCAGTTCTATAATCTGGTGCGATGTGTATAGGGCATGAGTGAGCAGATGAAGTCCTGGGAAAGCAAATATTCCTCCGTGGCGGGGCAGCAGTAGCAACAACAACAACAGCAATAGGTACCTCCCCAGCAGGTCCCCAGGGTACCTCAACAGAACACCGGTCTGAATCAGATCAGCCGTGCCAACCCGGTTCCACCCCAGGTCCACAACCAGATTTAGGTCTCCAATGGGGTGCCCGTGCACGACAACAACCAGCCCCACATCGACAACGTGGCCCACAACAACAACCAACTCTCGGTAAAAAGCCTAGCTACAGCTGCTATTGGAACTGAGGCGGCCACCTCATTTGAAGAGTCCAAAAGAAGGCGCAAGAGATGTGCACACCGCGCCACCAAAAAGAGCCAGCTCGCTCCAACAAGGAGCGTAACCCAGAGAAGAGCGGACAATAAAGCAACAAGCAAGCCGGATGTTCTGTCTGAACAACCACACCTAACCCGTGAATCACCATTGGAACTGGAGATCCTCCAAGCCCCAAGACCGAAGAACTTTAGGGCATTGACTCTCGAGACCTACAAAGGTAAGACAGACCCAATTGAGCATGCCGACAGCTTCCAAGCCCTCTTGCTGCTTCATAGAGCTAATGATGCGAGCATGTGCATTGCCTTCCCCACCACTTTGAAAGAAGAGGCCTGGCTTTGGTACTCAAGCTAGGCCCCTGGATCCATCAAGAATTGGGACCAGTTCGTCCAGATGTTCTCGTTAGTCAGTTTGCCACCAGTAAAAGACACTCTAAATCAGCCACATGTTTATTCAATTTAATCCAAAAGTCAAATGAAACACTGAGAGAATATATAAAAAGGTTTAATATGGAACGCCTGTAGATTCCAGACTTAGACCTAGTTGTTTATCTCACTGTGGCAAAAAATGGCATACGTCACCCCAACTTATGCTGGGAGATTGAATTGAACCCACCAACCACCATGGAGAAATTCCTCGCCATTGCAAACAAGTTCATTAAGGCCGAAGAGGCCCTGGGGTCGAGGTCTGAGCTGTTTGGGAAGAGAAAGTGGGTTGAGTAAGAGGCAAGCAACAACAAGACCAAAAGGAGAAGTAAGTCTCCTAAGAGAAGCAGGTCACCGAAAAGCAAACATAGCAGCTCGCCATAAAGGAAGAGCAAGTCGCCACCTCGGAGCTCGACCCAACAAAGTTGTACCCCACCCTTGTACAATAGAACTTGCACTCCCCTGAATTCAAAAAGGGGAGAAATTTTAATGCAAATAAAATCCAATGACTATGTAAAGTCGTCGCCTAGGATGAGGGGCTACCCAACCACCAGGAACCCCAACAAATATTGTCACTTCCATCGCGATGTTGGCCATGATACTGAGAATTGTTAGAACCTTAAGAATGAAATAGAAGACCTAATCAGATGGGGTTACCTAAAGCAGTACGTCAAGGATGAACGCCAACCTRAAGATCAAGGCAGAGAAGCACCCCAAACCACTCGGGAGCAGGAGGAGCTCCCAGGAACCAACAGCAAGAACGACCCGTCCAAGGGACCATCAACATGATCACAGGAGAATCGATCATCGCTGGATGCACCACCTCGGTAGGTAAAAACTCAATCAGAGAATTGGAACAAGAGGATAACAACCCATCGAAGCGCCCAAAAAGAGAAGAGGTAATCTACTTTACTGAGGACGACATGTGCAGAATTCAATACCCGCATTCCAATGCTTTGGTGGTAAGGTTACTTATCAACGACTCCAGGGTAAAATGAATTCTTGTCGACTCCGATAGTTCGGCCGATATCTTGTTCTTAGAGGCCTTTGAGCGCATGGAGCTCGAGAAAGATGATCTACAGCCCGCTGACATCCCTCTAATAGGCTTCAGCAGAGAGGTAGTTCGGCCTATTGTTAAGGTAAGAGTACCAGTCAAGGTTAGGGGCGATCATGGGCTGGGTTGGACCTGGCCCGGCCTGGGATTCCGGGCCTGAAACATAAGCCCTAGCCTAGGTTTACACGGACCCGGGCCAGGCCGAGCTTAATTTTGGGCCAATGTCTTCCATATATAAAACATTACTTATCTATAATATTTTATATTAAATGACATAACATGCATATAAAATTATTTTATACATTATATAATATAAATTATACATGTCATGCTATAATATTTATATATAAAATATATAATCTAATGTAAAATAACATGTATACATATGTATACATTATAAACAAAATGTGTAAGTTAAAATATATGTGGGTCGGGCTTAAAGTATTAAGCCCAAGCCCGACCCTAAAATTTGCGTGCTTGATGTGGGTCCGGGCCTAGGCCTGGCCTGAACACAAAACCTAGGCCCAAGCCCAAAATTTTCGGGCTGGGCGGAAATGATCACCCCTAGTCGAGGCGGGCTTGCCTCCTCATACAATGTGGTTTGATCACGACTTCCTTGTGGTTGCCACCCCTTCCCCATACAATGCCATATTAGGCCGACCTATCTTACATACCCTACGAGCTGTCATCTCGACATATCATTTAGCAGTAAAGTTCCCTACGGACACAGGCATTGGAGTAATGCGAGGTGACCAGCTGGAATCTCGCATGTGCTACGTAGCAGCCTTGAAGGAAATGGGCAAGATTGCTGTCAACATCAACCTAGAGCCACCACCTGAGAATACAGAAGAGCAAACTCGACCCACCGAAGAAACCATTCTGGTTCCAATCTCCAAAACAGAGCCAGAAAAGACACTATAGATAGGAGCTCACCTAACAGAGCTAGTGCACTCTGAGTTGGTAAGTTTTTTACTTAATAATGTAGATGTGTTCACTTGGTTGGTTGTAGAAATGCTCGACATAGACCCAGAACTTATAACTCATAGATTGAATGTTGACCCAACAATTAGACCAATCCGGTAGAAGAAAAGGAACCTCGCCCTGGAAAGATGGCAAGTAATAGATGAAGAGGTGGGGAAGCTGCTGGCTGTGGAATTCGTGAAGGAAGTCCAGTACCCGAGTTGGATAGCAAATCCGGTGCTGGTGAAAAAGGCCAATGGCAACTGGCACATGCGCGTCAACTACACAGACCTAAATCGAGCTTGCCCCAAAGACAGTTTCCCCTACCCTGGGTAGATTGCCTGGTGGATGCGACCTCAGGGTTTGAGTTGTTGAGTTTCATGGATGCATACTCCGGCTACTACCATATCCTAATGAAACCAGCAAACCAAAAAAAAAGGCCTTTGTAACTGAGATGGGCCTGTACTGCTACAAAGTCATGCCCTTTG